GTACACTATAATCTCAAGGCCAGCCACACACAGAGCATCTTGTTTACTGTTGTTTGTGTGTGTGTTCAACTCACGGTGATGGGACATAAGCGGAGTCACACAGACATACACTCAGTTGCCAGTTTATTAGGTACACCAACTAGCTAAACAGCCCTGCAATAAATCCTATGAACCGTAAGTTTCCGTAGAAACTGTTTAAGAGAGGATTTGATTCAGTTATTGAATTGTATTGCGTTATACTGACATGTTTCTGTTATTTTGTCCACCCCATTTATATCCATTAGGGTAGGCTAAATAATAGAAAGACCACTGTTAATGCAATGCAGGTCAACAGCAGTACAAGTTGCAGCCTCTGAAATAGATTCAACACAAACTGAACATTATAACTTTCATTAAGATAGTAATTATTGCAGGACTGTTGCATTAGACTGCATTAGTTTTAGCTAGATTTACCTAATAAACTCACAACTGAGCGTATATTTTACTGTAGTTTGCACCGACACATGAGAAGGCAGTTCTGCCACCGATCTCTGTAGCGAACACATCGGGAAGAATTGTCCGTAAATTACTAATTCCCATGTTTAACCATTTATACATATATATATATATATATATATAAAGCTGTGTGAGTTCATAGAATTGGAACTACATTATTCTAAGGTCACCTCTCATTGTGACATCATGAAGTGTTTGATGAACACCTGATGAGCTCATTCAGAATACACTTCAGTAAATATAACTAAGAGTCATTTTGAGTGATTGACTGTTAAGTGCATCTTTCTGTCAACATCAACAATGGCTTATCAAGAGACGCAAGACAACATGCATTGTTTCTGGAAAGACGACAGTGCCCAGGGGACTCTGGAAATCTGTCATGAGGACAACTTCTGGTCCATCATGGAGGATGAGGACATGCATGCTTATCTCAAGGCAGAAGCCATCAAGGTGGCCAATCGTATTACTAAAGAAAGGGGCAATCAGAAGACATCAAAGTCCAAGCAAGACCCGCATTCTCATGAAAACATTAGTGAGGACATCTTCTGGTCTACCGTGGAGGATGAGGACATGCGTGCTCATCTCAAGCAGGAAGCCGAAAAGGTGGCTGACCTGACAACCAGAGAGTCAGGTAATCAGAGGACCTCTAAATGCAAGGCGGACTGGAGGACTCCTAAAAAATGGGCTGAGCAAAACTTCTGGACCTTGATGGAGGATGAGGCCATTCATGCCCATGTGAGGCAGGAAGCCTTTCGGGTTGCTAAGATGATTACCAGATTCTGGGGCTCCAGCTCTCAGGACAGTCTCAGCACAGTGGAGGTTGAAAGTTCTGCTGAGGTATCTTTCCCTCAGCTGTCTTTCCCATCTCCTCCTCCTCCTCCTCCTCCTCCTCCTCCTCCTCCTCCTACAAATGCCAAACCATCTCAACCCTTCCAGGAGAGACAGCCTTCTCCAAAGACTGATGAAGACGAGCAGTGCCTGTGGCCGTTGTCCAATCCTGAAAAACGTCTGGACCACATCTTCAAACTGCTTGGCTCTCATGACTGGCAAAAGAAAATTGATGGTCTAACATGCGTTCAAGATCTGGCAAGGAACCATCAGGACATATTGAAGGCCTCACTTCGTAAAGTCTGTGTGGGTGTCATAAAGGAGGTTAAAAATGTGCGCTCTACAGTTTCCTGCACTGCTATGGCCACCCTGGGTGAGATGTATGCTCAACTCCAGACATCCATGGATGACATGGTGGAGGAAACTGGAAGTGCCGTGATACTGGAGGTGTCTGAGTCCAACACTTTGATCCAGCAGCAGGCAAATCCGGCATTGGACGCCATGGTTCAAAACTGCAGTCCCGGTTGTTCCATGAAAGCCCTGCTGAACGCAGGTCTGAGTCACCGCAGCGCTGCAGTCAGAGCTAGCGCAGCTCGGCACCTCAGCCAGTTGTGCGACATCCTTGGAGCCACAGGGACCCTTACCGGTAGCAAAAACTTCACCAAACACTTCCTTATTGCTGTGAGAAAAACACGTGTTGATGCTGCAGCGGACGTGAGGCGCCACGGACATGACATCGTCCAAAAACCTTTCCACCCACAGTGCCTTCCAAAAGCAGTGGAAAGAGGCCGTCCCAGAACAGGACAGGCGCTCGCTGGAGGGACTCACCAGGAAGCTGAAGACAGCAAAAGGGACCAGCGGCAAAGGACTGTAATGACATCACTGCTGGTTAATGACAATTGTCAGTAAATGTCTTTCATGAATCAAACATAACAGAGACTTGAGTACTTTAATCAAACCATACGATATGTATTTAAGGTATTTAACAGACAAAAGAGAATGGTGGCATTTGCGTTGACAATGAATTAACAAAGTGTGAGTGTGTGACATAAGGTCATAGTTTAACTAACGCAGTATCCCAGCACTGGATTGCTGTTCTGCATTTACAAATCCTCTCTTGCACATTGATTACACACACAGAGACACACACAAGAGCATTACGTAGCAGGTATATGCACGAACGACCAAGTACGCACAAAACCTTGCTGTTTCCATTATTGCAACCAGAAGGGAAGTCCCCCGGCAGGGCTGTAGTGGTTTAGCCATCACACACCCCTACCTCGCTGCAGTGTTGGTGTATGTGTCTTTCTGCCTGTCTGTCTCTTGGAAGTTGATTCACAATGCAAGTACAATTGCTGCGGATAAAGGTCAAATAAAGTGTGTGCGCGTGTGTGTGTGTGCTTCATACATATGTATCTCATATCGCTAATGCATATCATGTGTGTATCTAGATGTTTGAGTTTGTTTTCTCATGCGTCCCTGTGTGCGTGCATAATGTCGGAAATCTGTACGTTTGGCCGCTATTGCTGGCTGGCTTTTATGGGCGCATATGGGAAAGCACTCAACTCCCGACTTCCTTTGACACAACTACACACACATACACATGAAAACACACACACATGCAAGATGGGCTAGATGACAGACAGAAACCCTGATAATCTCTCAGAAGTGGGGAAGCTTTTATTATTGCGATTTTGCAATTATACTCTGCTTTTCTTTTCTAGCAGTAACCTAAATGTGTCTTACTATTATTATATCTAGCTTGTTTTATCCTACACTTTGCCGTTCCGACTCTGGTTTAGTTCAGTTTATCTGTACTTTCCCCACATCATGCACACACTCACACCAGCCCCCCCCCCCCCCTCTTCTTTCCCCTTGTTCCCTCGCTCTCTTGCTTCCCCTCTCCCTGGGAGTGAGCAACCTTGGACTGATTCATACATTTTCCTCTCCTCTGGCCAGTAAATCCAGTCAGGAGACTTGGAAAGGGAGAAGGATGAAGGGGGGGGGGGGGG